TCTGCTCGCAGTTTTGTTATTTGTCCTTGCAGCGTGCTGTGTGTACACAATCATATTTTTTGTGCTCGAGTTTGGAATTTGCCATTTCTTTAGGTTTACATTTTACGTGCGAGCTTTGTCACTGTGCGCACAGTACTGTAATTCGCTTGCGCGCTGTGTTCATGCGCTTGCGCTGTTTTGTCCCACTTTTGACGCCATAGCAGGGCAAAACAGACCGTTTCGAAAGCGGGATTACGTTTTACTCTACTAGAATTGATGCCGGAAAGTTCTCATATTCATAAGTGCAACAAGCCATTTGCATGTGAAAGTAGAAACTATGTTTTTCTCCGCTCGCTTTCTCCGAGTATTGCTTGTCACCTGCAGGAACGAAGAACAAGAGTCTGAGATGGAGGCCTTGAAGCCCGACATCACAGCATGAAATACCAGCTCTGGCCTACAGACGGCGCCAAAATGCATCTTAACCACTGCAATGAGGAAATCTATCAGCTGATCTTTCAGAGACAGAACTTTCCTCACTCAGATGGTTAAATGGGCAAATGAAGAATGCTGAACCTTTGAAAAAATCTGCACTACTGTTATGACTGCTACATATTTATACAACCAACTAACTACAAGATACTATTTGCTGCTTTCAGTAACAGTTACAGCTCTCCCTGGTCAACAAAGGGATACTTGTATGATAAAATGAGGTTCCAATCTAATATCTACTAATACATCATATATTCTTGCAACTCTCTTTTCTCATTTGAGATGATAGATTCATATTTTGTTTTCTGAATGTGAAGGATATGTTGAGTTGCAATTGTTTGAGGACGTGCTTCCTCAGTGTGGTGAAGAATTGTTGGGTTGTTTTTGCACTTGGGGTGAAATATTTGTAGTGGAACAAAAAAAAATTACTTTCCATTTCTTTAAAGACAACATGAAATCATTGTGCTTGTGTGGGCAGTTTATCAGCCTGAGGAAGATGACACTTATTTGTCTGCGTAAATTTTTTATGGTTCTGTATTTATTTAGTGCCTTATATTGAGTAAGACAGTGAAAAGATTTTCTAAAACCTGATCAAATTAGATTATAGCAATTAACACATGTAAATTTAAAGGTCCCCTGAAGTGCCTTGAAACACACAGCATTATTCTATGTGGTGACCACAGACTTGACCTAATTTCAACTGAAACAGAAAGAGAGGGCGGGGCATATCGAGCAGCCCCGCCCCCCTTTTTTAAAAATAGCCAATAGCGTTTAGTTTATAGCTGCTCGGGCCAGAGCCGTTGAGCTTGGTAAAGCCGTATTTGACAGCCAAAGTCTAATAGATTACCCCCTATATTCAATCTGAAACTCTTAGTAAAACAAAATAGTGGTCATAATCATGCTGAGGCTGTGTAGTTGTAAAAGTTTTTAATATATGCCGACTCGCGCATATGATCCGCTCCATGCGATCGCGTCTCTGGACCGGAACCAAAGTCCGGAAAGTTCGGATTCTAGAGAGCATTTGATTGGTCAGAAGATTTGATGAGAAGATGAAGTACGATGTGACGTCAAAAAAAAAATCGTTGAGCCGTTTTGGCGGAAGTGACAAACTGCAAGCTTTGAATGCAGTATATATTGAAATTTGAAAATTTGCACCAATCGAAAGCATATTTACACTGAATCGTTCCCTATCACCTACATTGTGCACTTCCAGCCATTCACCGTACAGGAAATACTACACTGTGCAGGAAACACTACACCGTGAACAAGAGACCGAACTTAGCCGCAGCTTCAGCGTCTATTTATAGTGTAGGGGGAAGGCGCTTCGGATTCTAGAGAGCATTTGATTGGTCAGAAGATTTGATGAGAAGATGAAGTACGATGTGACGTCAAAAAAAAAATCGTTGAGCCGTTTTGGCGGAAGTGACAAACTGCAAGCTTTGAATGCAGTATATATTGAAATTTGAATATCTTATAAATGAAACTTTTGTCACTGTTTTGGAGCACACTGCCTTATAGATAACCTTAAGACTAACATATTGATACTAACACCCAAAAAACTTGTAATTTAGATTTCATGGGGATTTTAAGTCACAGCTCATAGGAACATCAATTCCCTGAATTTGCGCAGCCAAAGAATTAGTGACAGACTTAAGGAACGTTTAGATGATCATTTTTAATGTTCATTGGTGCAGTATTTTTCCAACATAAAATGTCAGTATCTCTGTACATTTGTGTGTGTGTGTGTGTGTGTGTGTGTTCAAAAAGTGACTGTGCACATGAAGCAGTTTAGGCTATTTCACAGACTGTGGACAGTGACTGTGAATTTAAAGATGGTACTGTAAGGTCAACTTCCATGCTCCGAGATCTAGAGTGGTTTGAGCTATGGACGTTATGTGCTAAATGGTTGTCTGTAGTGTTATTGAACTTAAGTTTTCTTCTCCCTGTAAATATTGAGATGAAATGTCTGGAAATAGTCTCAATGGAAATTGTCTTGTTTTGTTCAGCAGAACGAAGCTACTCTAGACTTTTTAAAGGGTTTAATGGGAGATTATTTTTGTCAAAACCACAAACACAACCAGAACATTACACAACTACAAAATGTACATGTGTATACATTATTTTATGGCCTTTATAAACATACTGACATTGTGTATATATGTCGTGCTTATTAAATTCGTGTTGTAAATAGGCTACTGTCAAACCTTAAAAAAAATTTATTTATGTGACTGGGTTTGGGGTTTTAATTTCATGCATAAAAACTAATTGTGAAGAATCATTGTGGTTTAATAATGGTTTTCATATTTTTACAAAAAAAAAAGTTCATTTCTATAGAGGAGTTTTTGAGCCTGTCCTCATACCCACATCTGTGCTCTTTGCACTCCACTACTTGTCTGTTCACATGACGTTCTATTTATACATTTTGATTTTCAATACTTGCAACTTTAAAATAAACTTCTAAATATCTTATGTAATAAGCGGTTACAAACATTTTACAAATTACACATTAACTGTAGGCCTACACGTTTTGCTACCAAATTATATGTAATAAGTTTTCCTCGAATTTTCGCGATTTCGGGGCATGTGCGTTCGTGAACGTGATGAATAATGGGATACCCTTTGCTCTAAAATACCGCTCTGATGCGGTATTAGAAATCATGTGGATTTAGTGTGTATGAATGCCATTGAGCTTTGGCATTTTTCAGATCTGGGACAGTCTTGAGCACGCACGTTCTGTAAGGTGCACAGCACACGCTCTTAAAGGGGTCATATGATGCTTTTTTTTAAAAGATCATTATTTTGTGTATTTGGTGTAACAGAATATGTTGACATGCTTTAATGTTCAAAAAACACATTATTTTTCAAATACTGTACATTATTGTAGGTCCTATATGCCCTGCAAACGCTTCGTTTTCTACAAAGCCCCTCCTTCCGACAAGCGCAGTCTGCTCTGATTGGCCAGCTGACCCAGTGCATTGTGATTGGCCAAACACCGCAAGCACTGGTTGGAAATGTAACGCCCCTTACCATAATCGCGAGCTTCATCTTTCAAAATAAATGTAAAGACAGAGCCCGAAAGGGGAACAGAGTCGCGTGACAGACACAGTGATGAAGCTGGTATGTGTTTGCAGTACACAAGCCACACACACACACGAAGCGCAAAACTCCACATTTGAACAGTCAATAGCAAATACTTGAACTAATAACAAAACAGTAGCTGATTCAGAAGCGCCAGATTGTCATAGCAAAGTCAGAATTACCTCCTCTCCTAGGTTCACGAAACGGTCGTCCATAAAATGCATTGCTGTTCTGAGGTATATTAGGGGTACATTTAGGAGTAAATAGGGTTCAAATATGTATCTTGTACCTTAGTGTATTGCCCCGATGTCTGATGCACCTTTTTCTGAGCGTGGTACTTAAATTTCTGAATCGAATGGCTTTGAATTTCCACTATTTCACCATTTACTAACCTTTAAACACTGCTATGATTATAAAACATTGTCACTGATTTATGCTGCCCTATAAATGCAGAACAGTATCTCTTCTGTAGCAGAAGGGTTTGCTTCTGTTATGGTACAAAGAAAGCGTCCAAGTAAAAATCAGAAATTAATCAAAAGATTTACAAACAGTTTTTTCAGTTCCAGTGTTAGTTTCCAGTTTCAGGTCCAGCATATTACAGCCTTTCGTCTTCACCGCATTTGAACAGTCAATAGCAAATACTTAAACTAATAACAAAACATACTTACAGTCGCTGATTGAGTGAAGGAAAGAAAATATATCCGCAACTGAGTTTCACAATCACTCATTACTTGATTGATGAAATGATTATTTCAGTAAGTATTTAACAATATTTCCTCTCCTAAAAAATGGTTCAACTTGCCTCCAACATTATTCTAATACTCTGCCATAAAATTTGACTTCATTCATTTACTTTATTTTGCTGCCATAAAATAGTACTCATATAAAGTATGTATGTGTGTGTGTGTGTATATATATATATATATATATATTACTGTTTATATAATATAATAAATATTTTGAGTTGTTTTTATTATAGAAAAACCTTTTTGCAGTTGGAGTTGGGAGTAACAGTGTAATGATATAGCTGTTTAAGCTGTAATGCTATTTTTGGCAAGGATGATAGATATGGGGGTGAGATTATTTTGAACCATACTGAAACTCTAGATAAAAAAAAGTTTCCTTATATCCTTATACGCGAGTTATGAAAAACCCCTATACCACCTACATCTCACAAAACTGGCAGAACAACAAGGGATGGAAAAACGTTTTTACTAGTAAGATGATAGGAATGCTGAATAGTCTCAATTTAGTTTGATTGATCAGTCAGTAATAGATCTATTAATTCTAATAAGTCTGTAAGAATTTCTACTGGTACTCAACATAAGTTTGTGATCATATTAGAACTGTTTTTTCTTAATTTAAATTCCATTTTTAAAACCCTTTTCTGTTTACTCTCACAAAACCTTTTAAAATGTACTTAAACTTAAAATGTAGTTTTAAAGTACTAATAAGTACATTTAAGGTACTAATAGAGGTATATTAGGGGTACATTTAGGAGTAAATAGGGTTCAAATATGTATCTTGTACCTTAGTGTATTGCCCCAATGTCTGATGCACCTTTTTCTGAGCGTGGTACTTAAATTTCTGAATCGAATGGCTTTGAATTTCCACTATTTCACCATTTACTAACCTTTAAACACTGCTATGATTATAAAACATTGTCACTGATTTATGCTGCCCTATAAATGCAGAACAGTATCTCTTCTGTAGCAGAAGGGTTTGCTTCTGTTATGGTACAAAGAAAGCGTCCAAGTAAAAATCAGAAATTAATCAAAAGATTTACAAACATTTTTTTTCAGTTCCAGTGTTAGTTTCCAGTTTCAGGTCCAGCATATTACAGCCTTTCGTCTTCACTGCTCTGCGCATTCAGGACTGAACTAAATTCACATCACGTGCACTGCATACTAGGGTGCTCCGATCAGGGTTTTTGAGGCTGATCGCCGATCACAGAAAGCAGTATCTGCCGATACGGAAGCAGC